CAACCCCCGCGCACGCCAAAAAAACCAGCCTCACCCAACCCCACACCCCCCCAAAACCTGCCCACCACAACCGCCCCCACCACAACCGCACACCACAACCAGGTACAATACCCAGACCCCACCAGCAGACCGCATCTGGATTGCGGACGGTGACGAGTTTGTTCCCAGTCCCCATGACTTTGATGAAACACAAAGTGGAATAAAGCCATCTTGTCCACTTGGGAACAATGCTAGTGAACTGGACTGCTTTGAGTTATTCTTCGATGAACCCTGATGGACATCATTGTCAGGGAAACAAACACATACTGTGATTACACCATGGCAAATACAATTCTCTCACCAAAATCACGGCTACACAAGTGGAAGGAGACAATTGTGGCAGAGATGTACCTGTTTTTTTGCCACAATAATGCTTATTGCCACTGTGTATAAGCACACTGTCACCACATACTGGGCAACAGAACGCTGATTTCAACTCCAGGTTTTAGTGACATTATAGGTGTCAATCGTTTCCTGATACTGTTACGTATGTTACACTTTTCAGACAAAACCAGGCCTGACAGAAGCGACAGGTTATATAAGATCAGAAATGTGTTTATTTACCTGAAACAAAAGTGCTGCATGTATTTTTATCCCTTCAGGAAGCTTGTTATTGATGAGTCCTTGATTTTATTCAAAGGAAGACTCTCATTCAAGCAATATATACCAAGCAAGAGGAAACGCTTTGGTATAAAGCTATTTGTACTGTGTGATTGCAGAAGTGGTCTAGTTTTGGATATTGTGTACACTGGCAGTAATACTTTGAGAGATACCATGAAGTTATTGGGTATCTCTGGTGATGTAGTTTGAACAATGATGGAACCATATCTTGGTAAGGGGCATATGTTATTTACTGATAACTGGTACACAAGCCCTTTACTCAGTGATTTCTTGCGAGTGAACTTGACAGACGTGTGTGGCACAGTGCGTCGTAATCGTAAACATGTGCCAAGGTTCGACGCTGGCACTCGCAGAGGTGAGGTGCAAGCCTTTGCTGCCAATGACATCATGGCATTTCGGTGGCATGACAAACGTGATGTCACATTGTTGACATCAGTTCACAGAAACGAAATGGTACCCAGTGGCAGGGACAACAGAGAGACCAATGAACCCATTCTAAAGCCTGCAGCTGTCATGGACTACAACCTCAATATGCGCTTAGTGGACAAATGTGACATGCAGATTGGGTTTGCAACGGCGCAAGGTTATAATGGTATAAAAAACTTTTTTTCCATCTTGTTGAATTCTATGCAAAATGTTTAAAACATTTAAAGTTGAAAAACCCAACAAAACACCAAAATTGGGAATTTTCCCGTCGGAAATCAGACAAAAATTGAAAAAGTCCCCAAGGGAGAAAACCCTGAAAATAGACCAGCCCCCACACACTCATCCGTTTCGGGCCCCTGGTGATCACCCCCCATACAACGGCCTCCACTACCCCAAAGAAAAAATCTCAGAAAGGGTTTTGTATGTATGATACCAAAAAAACGCCCACAAACACCAGACCACTTTTTGTGGAGGGTGTGAAGTGCCCCCTGCATATACCCAGTTTAAAAGAGTTCCCAAGCTGCCATTTCTGGAACTGTTCAGTGACTTACATATGTATATTTATATTATGGAACAATATTTAATAAAACTTTGTTTTGTATTGTTGTTTGTGTAAAAAAAGGTTACCAAAAAACTAAAGTGATGAATTTTTGTTCTTTTTATTGTGTTGTAAAAATGGTGTATATTTGAAGAATGCCCCTTACATTGGCTCACAGGCCACATAATTTAAACCTGGAACAAAAAATTTAAAAATGCAAGAAACCTTTAATTGAGTAAATAAAGAATCCCGGGTGGGGGGCAGTCCCGCTGTTCCCGTACGCACTATTTTCTGCAAACTTTGCGCCTGTCCGTAAGTACGATGGCAAAAAAATTTTTTTTAGGCTTAAAACACTCCAAAAAATTCCTAACATTTCTAAAAAAAAAAAAAATTTTTTTTTTTCGAAAATTTGGGGACAGAATGACGTTTCAGAGAGGGGCCTGAAACAGTCAAAAGGGGTTTAAATGCTAAATAACTACCATGGGGTCCAAAAAAAGCTCGTTGCCCAACCTTTGGTAAAGAAGGGAGAAATC